TTTGAAATCTTGAAAATTGTTGATTGACTGCAGGCATAGAATTCTCAACTGGTTACAGCTTAAAGGGTCAGTGTACGGCATCTCTATTACACCTCTACAATAGCAACTCGCTACAGGGAAACACTCTCCCATATAAACTGAGGTAAACTAATTTAAGAATATTTTTTCCGGGCAACACTTTTACCACTACCTAGAGGTGATAATCAGGTCTAGAAATTTCTTAACTAAACTAAACAGTCAACACACACCTGCTAACAGTTTGTAGGCTGGCTGAAGCCCTACTTAATTTGCTGCGTTGTAATAATCCAAAAATACATGACCTCAAGCCTGTTTGTACAAAATTCAAGTGAAGAAAGGTCGCCAAACCAATTAGAAGTTTACCTATTTATGTAGGTAAATATATTTGTACTTTTCCACATGTACTCACATAATCAAATACATGCATATACTCACTGACTTGTTTTCTACACTTTTCACATTTAATATGCTGCTGCCGCTTATCTAAAACTTGCAATCAAACAATCCATTAGGCAAAAAATAAACAAAAATAAAAAAAAATAAATTCACATTAACCACATAAATAGTTTGCGGCCTTTTTCTAGTTTTGTTTCCACCTTGCACGACTCTCGTCTTCCAGCGCTAAGCATTCCCATAAAAATACTTTACGAATTGTTTCATATTTTTTTGGCTGTGGAGCATATAGGTTTTTATATGGAAGACGATACGACTGAGTGGAAGCCACAAATTTGGGAAATAGACTGATCAACTTCACAAATAGTTCTATGTGGGGCGTGGCAGTGGAGCAAATTGAACTTTGCATGAGCAGCGAGTGAGCTTCCTTGCTTAGAGAGTTAGAGAATAGAGAGAGACAGACAACAGAATTGGTGATCATTATAGGCGATTAAGTCCATATCGATTTTTTACTATTCGAAATCAAAATCGAAATGGTCATTCAACAATTTCACCTTTAACACAATCGAAGATCATCATGACGATCAAGCCGAGTCTAGCCGAAAGCTCCTCCCGCATCCCCTGTGCCAGGGTATGCTGTAGTCGGTTGCAGCTTAAAGTTATTTACAGTTTTATTCTCTTTCTCTCTCTCTCTCTCTTTCTCTCCCTCTCTCTCACACATGTCCTGTCGCTTGACAGTAACAATACAGGCCTTAAATAACAGCACGAAAACAACGGGAATAACGGAAAAAACAACAGGCAGCTGAAAAAAACGTGAAGCCGCATTGTTATAGCCAAAAAAAAAAAAAAAAAAAGAAAAGAAGAAAAAAATGAGGAAAAAAAGAAGCAAATAAAGGAAGACTTAAAAACAAAAACAAATAGCAGCAAAACACAAACACACAGGAAAAAAAAAAAAAAAAAAAACAATGCAATACAAATTTTCTCGCTTTTTTTTCTCGTTTTGGTAATGCTTTACGCTGTATTTTCCTTTCTTCTGCAGCTTCTTTGCTTGTTGATGCTCAAGATGCGAAGCAGTAAGAGTTGAGGAAGAAGAAGAAGAAGCAGTGGAAGAAGTAGAAGAGGTAGGTGCACTGCCACCCAAGCAAAAAGTGGGCGTGTGCCACGCACGTTCCCAACACGTTCGCCTTTGGATGCAGCAACTGCCTCAACTGCCTCGCGTGGCATGCAGCAACGCCCCACGTTGTGCCCATTTGCTGCTATATAGCTGCTGCTCGGCTCGGCTAAGGTACATACATATACACAGATATACATATACATATATATAGTGGCACTCGGCAACGGCTTTGTAGCCATAAAAGTGTCTTTGTTGCAAGTGAGTGCGCCGCATTTAAGACGTGGCAAGGCGGGCAGGCATCCAGCCAGCCAGCCAGCCAGCCATCCAGCCAGCTAGCAACCGGCAGGCAACAGCGTGTTGCACATCGCGCTCAGTTCACACGCGCATTCACGTCTTCCAGCTTCATTTTGTTGGCTCGAAAACAATTCAACACACATTTCGCCAGCTTTATGCTTATGACACCCTAAAGTACGAGCACTGCCAACGGGAAGTACTTGCAGCACTTGCCACACATATTAGTTGCATTTGTACTACATGCCGTACGCGCGCTGCTCTGCCCAGCTCTGCGCCACACCAACTCTGCCCACCCATTTTCCCACCTCTGCCGAAAAACTTGTCATTTATAATCGTGATTAACAGTTTCTTTCTTTCTTTCTTTCTTTCTTACCTGTTTACGGAATCTGCTAAACCACAGTTTATCGCCACATTTCGCCAGATGGCGCAACAACAAACACAACAAACACCCATTGTCTTCATGCCCCAAAAATCTCAGCACATTCATTTGGATAAAGTTTCTCGCCGACTCCTCAAAGTATGCAGCAAAATTTTTACTCTTTGGATTATTTGTACAGGCAGGCAACCTCGGAGTGTCAAGCTATAAAGCCCTTCAAATGATGATCAGTTTTATCTACTTGAGTCGAACTGCAGATGGCTTAGTAAATCAAGCCTGATCTTGAGAAAATTTCGATGTAATTTCCTGCTTATTTGAAACTATTTCCTGCAGTTCTTCTGCTGCTCTTTAGCATTTTCATAGCTCTCTTGATTATTCACTTTACACGGAGCTCTTTATTTATTTATATTTATCCATTTATTGGACTGAAGCTCAAATTAATTTGAATAGAAATTAGACAAATACATTCGAGCTCCGATAGTTCGGGAGGGATCAGTTTTTTTTATTTTTTTCAATTTACACAGAAATTTAAATTATTGAGAATGAATTTTTTCAAGGGGATACAATTTTTTTCGATTTATAGCGATTTTCGATTTAACGGGGTACAAATTATCGAGACTCGACTGTGTTTAGTATTCAGCATAGCTCAACGTACACATAAAAAGTATGCTTAATGGGTATGTCATAGTCTAGCATAAATAAACTGTGCTCTATATGCCCACTTCCAATGGGTTTAGGCTTCAGCATTCTGCCTAATTCTTTATACAAATAAAAATTCTGCTTTATAGCCAATAGGTATGTCATAGTCTAGCATACTCCAACCCTCTACTAACTACCCTCTACACTGTACAATCTAACTGCATTTTGATATTTTCCATTTTTCAAACTACAAAACACGAACTTCCAGCAAATCAAAACGAACTGACATTGGTTTAGCCATCGCCTGAAGATGCTGCAATACCAATGGACATGCACACACATACACACACGCTCACTGATAGGCATGTGTGTGTGTGTGAGTGTGTCATCTGTGTGCATTGACAATTGAAAGCGGCCAAGTGACTGCAGAGTGCGTGAAGCGCCACACAGAGCCTTCGGCAGTGCTTGTTGCAACATGCAGCGGCGACACTTGCAACACCAAGGACAACAGCGCAAAGAGCAGCTAAAAAGATTTGCATGTTTTGTTTATCTCTTCTTTTTTTTTGCCTGTTTTCTGTTTTTTTGTCATTTTATTTTTTGCACGTTTTTTGCCTCGCTCGCGTTAGCCACATTTCTGCTCTTGGCCATTTTGCAGCTTACGCAAAGTTCAGGCGCCTGCCTCATGGCATATAGCCGACATATATATATATATACTATACTATATATATATATATATGTCCTGGCAAGTCGCTAGATGTCTGTACTATACCATAGTATAGACAACAGCTGATCAAAATGGCCAAAAGTATATAGAGTTAACAGAGAGATAACATCCCTCCTCCTGTCGAATCTTAAGCAACATTACAGCCATTGCTTTTGGCATTTGAAAGTTAGCTGCAGCTCTGAGATACGCAAATATCCTACTCCAGACTCGTGTGGTTGCAACAACAGCAGCAGATACACAATTTAGAGCCATAAGATACAGCACATCAATGTTTTTGCTTTGTGCTGCAGGAAATTACTTAAATTACTCTTGAGATACAAACGAATTGCTCAAATTAAATTGCACAAAAGCTGAAGGAAATTGTGAAATTAATTTCAAAGTCTGAGATACAAAAGTATCTGAAGGATGCATTGATTAATGTAGCCAAAAATGTCTTGATTAAAGACTAACCAAATTGAAGTATTAAATGACTCATGCAAGGAGCACACACACGCACACACACACACACAGACACACCTCTGGCACACATGACTAGTCAGAGCAGAGCTTATATACGATATCCCTTTGACTTATCAATGAACCAATATGTATATACTTTTAAATATTTCACGGCTAATTGTGCGTATCCTTAGGCTATAAGGAGCCAAGTTAATGTGTCCCACACACACACACCCACACACAGAGAGAGAGAGAGACAGGTCTGAAATTGTCTTGAGGGCCCTTGCGCCTGGCATAAACGAACAAACAGCCAAACAGCAACAGCAACACAGCAACGGCTGCTGACAAGGACAAGAGGTCCGGTTGGGCCAGTCCAGGCCGAAAGGAGCCTGGTCCCATAGTCCGAGAGCCCATAACATTTTTGCCACCAAACAATACGTAACCGATACTTGGAAATGTCAGACGCAGCAGGCTTAGCCCACAACACCTGTCTGTGCCTGGCCACACGCCCGAAACTGACCCAGCGCCCGTTATGGGGCTGGGCTAGTGCCACAGCCAGCAAAACGGCTCAAAGGATTAGGGCGCGCTTTCACTCTCGCTCTCGTTCTGGTTCTCGTGGGCTTCCCAAAACGCTGGAAACCTCATAAAAGTTATTGTTTTTCTACTTCATTATCTTTCAAAAGTAAAAGGCGAATAAGTGCTGGAAAAAAAAACAAAAACAAAAACGATGTGTGCTTTCGTTTTCGTTTTTTTTTTTTGAGCTTGTGCTCGCCGCTTAAGGTTTTATTTTACATGCCACTTGGCCACAATGCCCAGCGGGCTGAACGCCTTCAACTTCCTGCAGATCCTTAAGCTGCTTGCTGCTGCTGGTGGTGCTGCTGGTGGTGCTGCTGGCAGACGTTTTTGAAGGACAAGTGTAATGTTTAGACGCTCGCTTCGCACAAGTCAGCTTAAGTTGCGAACTAAACTAAACTAAACTAAACTTATTGTTGGCTTCAACTTACCCAGCGCATGACATTGTAAAATCTTGGTCCGTCCCTCGCTAACAATGGATCCCGATGACGATGGATGCGTTGTGAAACGCGGCGCCTGTTGCTGTTGCTGTTGCGATTGTCCTGTCGGTGGTCCTGCTTGTTGTTGTTGTTGTTGTTGTTGTTGCGGAATGGCATCTGCAATAGAAGAAGGCAAAAACAGTTGTTCATGATGAGCATTTTGTTCCGAGCTGTCAATGCAAACAAATTCCCCGGAGCGTGCTCGTTAAAAAGCAACGCTCGACCTTGACAATGCCACTGGTCATGTTCAAGGACTCGCCGGGCGTATTTCAGTTAGTCATTCGACTTATTTGTTGCCACATTTCTCAGTGCGCTTCCCATGGCACACAGCAAAAGCAAATAACACAAAAGCAAAGCAAAACAATGAGCCCAACTGAATAGCACGAAGTCACCAAGTGTTATTCCTGTCAAGCATTTCGACTTGTTTTCAATTTGCTTTGGCATTTGCGAGGAGATTAAACAATCATTTTACTACGATTCAGTCGAATTGAATGAGTGAAATCAAAAAGCTTCAAGCGATATGAGTGTATCTATACTATTATTTGAACTACCACTTATCATCGATAAAAATCGATATTTTCACTTACTCAAAATGATATAAATTGACATATTTTTTTAGTTAAAATGTTCTACATGATTATACAGTCCATTCTTGATAATTTGTACCCTGCTAAATCAAAATTCGTGATAAATCGACAGAATTTTATCCCTTGAAAAAAAAAATCGTTTTCGATAGTTCTCGATAATTTGAATTTCTGTATAATTCGAAGAAAAACTGATACCCTTGCCATTTTCAATTATTGAGACTCGACTGCATATAAAATATTGTTTTGAATATGATCGATAAAATATCGAAAATTTAAGAAATCAAATCGTCGCTTTTTATCGATAATATATGCATTTATTACATGTCATGCCATGTCATTCGAACGCAGAATATGCTTGAAAGGTTCTACTCATCCTGCTACAAACACGGAAATTAACTCTGATGCTTTAATTTTCAATAAATATAAAAAATAAATTCAATTATTAATAGATTCATAAGAGCTCACAGTTGCAATATAACTTAAACCTAAATCATTAAATTCCATTTAATATCGTTCAAGCAAAAAAAGTGCAATATATTGATTTAGCATAGCATTTCAAATTAAAAACATTTTTTTTGATGTCATCAATAGCAATTTTTATTCATAACACACAAAAGAAAAAAATATAATGTAAAAGGTTTTATAGAAAAAAAAAGTATTTACTAATTTAATATTGAATGACATAAATGCTTTACTTAACTGAATTCGTAATTATTTCACTAACAAAAAATGAACAACACAACGCAACAAAATAAAGTAGAAATATGTAAAATTTTGCCACATTTTGTTTATTTTATATTATTTGTTGCTTTGTTGAGTATGAGTTTTATGACAACTAAAACAGCCAACACGAGTTTCTATTGGTTTTGAAACTGTGAGCATATAGGGTATATTGTTTTGCTGCCTGTACATGTTGAGGGTAGAAGGTTAAATCAATGATCGAGAGGTTATGTTTGTATTATATCTGAAATCTTTACAAAACTCTGCTGCTTTGTCTTTCGAATTCTCGTCTTCTTCTGCCAATCACATTCAAATCGAGTTTCGATGATATCGATCAAGTATCGATAGGCGTATGTTTATATATCGATAGTTATCTATAGTGCTATCGTCTCTAATTCTTATTGCTTACTACATATGTTTCAGCATTTGAGATATACCGTAGAATCCGATTATAACGACACTCAAGGGACCGTCGTTATACCCGGAAGGCGCTATAACCGTATAACCGAATAATCGTATAAGGCGCTACAAGCAGATTCGTTATAGCCGGACTCTACTGTATATTTCGATCATATCTATTTCTAGCTTAGTTCAGATCAAGTTTATCAGTTCAACATATTTAATACAGCCTGTACCCTACCTTCCTCCATATCCATAAGTAAATACCTCTCATCATAAATACCTCTTACGCATAACAATATAAAACAAGGCATCTCACAGTCGTGCACACCCCACCCAACCTCTCTGCTTTGTTCTGTGCACATTGCAATAGACACAAGAAAACTTGTTCAAGATGCAATATGTCTATTGAAATACAAAATTGCTTTTCAATAAATACAAAAAAAAAAAGAAGTAGCACTAATATTATTTTATTATTTCGACATGCAAACCAAGCAAAACGTATAAATATTTTAATTTTATTTATTCGCTGCAGACAGGAATAGTTCTACGGTAATTCCTTATCATCAAACCGATAAAAGACAAAAAAAAAAAAAAAAAAAAAAATAAATAAATAAATAAGCAAAACACAAATTGGGGGCTATAACTTGCGCCGTAGCGTAATAAATCCAATAAATCCAAGTGACAACGGGCAGCAGCAACAATAAACAGGAAAGTCTAACCGAAACGAAGAGCCCTGGTGCTCTGGCGCTCTGGCTCTGGCTGTGGCGGCTCTGGTTCTGCGTTCTGCTTTTGCAAATATTTTTACTGGTTGGCCTGACCCATTTTTCAAGGGATTATAAATTCATTTTGAACGCAAAGCATTCGTACATACATACATACATACATATCTATACGTATATATGTATATATATATACCGATGTATTTTGGTTACGGCACCGTCACAAAGTAACAACGAGCGCCCATTGCGACATTACGTATTGGAAACCACGTAAATAATTTGTTTATTTTTACCTCTGACAAATGCATGAATGGGTGTCCTTTGAACAGCTCAAAGCCAGAAGAGTTCAAAATTAAAATATCGAAAATGCTGTGAACAAATGCCGAAATACTCAGCCGAAAATTGCTTAATTTTTCAATATTGACAGCTGTTTCAAAGGGGCGCAACTCTTATTGATTCAAATCAACCATATTAATATTCAAGTATATTCATATCCATATATATGTATGTATGTAAATAGAGGCAGTCGATGCGTATTCTTTTCTAAAATACATATATATAGACCTCTTGTAGAGAAAGCAGTTTCTGATCTTATTATTTGTATAAAGCGCAAATTTTTTATTGTCATTTGCAACAGCTGCAAACCGTTGCCAAGTAGCAAAGTAACTGCACAATGCAAAAGTATCTTAAAGTTGCAAAGGTATCTGTAAGATGCAAAAGTAGCAGTAAGACACAAAACTGTATATATATATATATATTATATTTATATACAACAGTTATACAGGCCACACAAAGTAACTGCAAGATGCAATACTATCTGTAAAAAAAAAAAAAAACAAAACTATCTATAAGTTGCACAAGCATAGACAAGATACAAAAGTATCTGTACATCTGGAAAAATATCTGTGGGACAAACTTGAATGTATATTTTATGCATTCTGCAACTGTTACTATATGTTACACTGTATTCAATCAAGCAACAACAACATTGCACAGGCTCTGCACTTTGGCCAAATTTCACTTGAAACGCCTATAAAATTCTCTTTGCTTTCTGCATAAATCGTGTCGATATTCATGCTATATAAATAGTTTAGCGCTTTGAAACAATTTCCGCCACTCGCTTTTCACATGAACCCCGTTCAGCTGAAATGAGAGCAATCAAATGTTGATATGCTCGACTAGCAGATACCCGAGCCAGAGTTCAACAGAAATGCAAATGTTTTCAATTGTATATGCTCGACTAGCAGATACCCAAGGCTTGGCTGTAGCAAGGGAAATATCTTGTATGATCATTATGAAATTTATTATCAGAACTCTATATCTTCTCTCTCTCTCTCTCTCTACCTAATATATATTTGAATAGAAATATTCCAGAAAGATATAAATAATATATAGACTAAGTGCAAGCCAAGGCACGCTTCTTCGATTAATGTAGTTGAAGCATCTTTGTATAGATATCTCAACAATATAAACATATACATACATATATATATAGTCATAGTCTAGCATATAGCGCCATCTGTTGAGCAATTTTTGCTACAATCTACAGGGCATAGCCATTCTATTACACAGCATTTACATATTTTTATAGCCATGTTGCAACCAAAGAAAAAAACAAGTAAGAAGGCTCCAGTCGAGACTGCTCGACTAGGAGATACCCTGAACCCTCTAAGCTGATATTCTAATCATTCTGCACTTCTTTTATGCACACATACATACACATGCATCCACACGCATAAGCCTGCGCTCTGCTAACTGCGCAGTAAGCAGCGACTGCGCTTGGGCTGCGCTGCTGTGTGGGCAATATTATGAGAATTTCTTTGTTGAATAATTTTTTTTGTAGACATACGATCCTAATGAAACTTTTAGAACGTAATCATATAGTGAATATGTGTGTACATTCCAAAGCACAATAGTACTAGTACTTGAAATGCGTTTTTTACAAATTGGGGGCGAAGGGGGCGTGGTATCCAAAATCTGTAAATTACAAAATCTTTGTGTCCATTAGCTCTATATACAACGCAAATTTGAAGTCTCCAGGTTTAAAAGTGTTCAAACTAGGCTGAAAAAACCAAGTCGATTTTTCGATTATTCTCGATAAAAAAGTTATCGGAGTTATCGAAAAAATAAAGCAAACTTGTACTGCCTATGGTATACACGAGTATGCATGCCAAATTTCAGCTCTCTAGCTCTTATATCTTCTGAGATCCTTTTGCTCATACGGACGGACGGACGGACGGACGGACAGACGGACAGGGCTATATCGACTCAGCTCGTCGTCCTGATCAAGAATATATATACTTTATGGGGTCTGCGATGATTCCTTCTGCCTGTTACATACTTTTCACAAAACCATTATACCCTGATTTCCCATTTTCAATGGGTTCAGGGTATAAAAAACGAAATAAAATGCATTTGCTGGCAACACTGTGGCAATTAACAATTAGCAGCGCTGCAAATCGCATTTGGCCAAAACAGAATGTTGTAAAAGCGAACAACATATGGCGAGCATATGTTTTTATTTGGCCGATTGGGAAAGTTAACTGAATGTGTGTGTGTGTGTGTGTGAGTGAGTGAGCGAGTGTGTGTGTGTAAGCAGCTTTACGCCTCGCTGATTAGCCGAGGCCCAGTTGTAACAGTTGCTGTTTAGCTGTTCTCTGTTGGCGATTGTGATTGAGTATATAATTCTAGCCTGTGGTTTGGTTACGCCTGACCAGAGAGCAGCTGAAAGCCAGTCAACAATGCTGCTCAGCGAATGGTCAATGTTGCCATGAAGATGGCATGCCACTCCACACTTTGCCACCTGCCCACACATAC